TTTTCTTTGCCGCTCCTCTTCAGTGGCTCTCCTCTGCGGCTCCTCTTGTGCAGCTTTTCGTTGTTGCTCCTCTTGTCCAGTTTTTCTTTGCCGCTTCTCTTCGGTGGCTCTCCTCTGCGCCTCCTCTTGGTCAGCTTTTTGTTGTTGCTCCTCTTCTGAAGCTCTCTTCTGCGGCTCCTCTCGAGAAGCTCTCCCCTTCTCTTCCTGTTTCAACCTCATCCTCTCCTCATTGTCCTTTAGCCAATCTGCCTCCCCTCTCAATTTGGCTCTCCTCCCATCTTCACTCTTTAACCTCTCGATTTCTTTCTCTTTCCCTTCTCTTCTTAGCTTGGCTCTTATCTCTTCTTCTGTTATAGCTGCTCTGTCATCTTTCACCTGTTTCTCTTTTCTTTCTTTCTCTGCTTTTTTATCTGCTTCTCTCTGTTTTTCCCGCCGCTCCTTGATCCTACTAGCTATGGCCTCCCTCTCTTTTGCTCTCCTCTCCTCTTCCCTCTGAATGGCTCTTTTCTCTTCTTCAGCCAGAGAAGCTCTACTCTCCTCCATAATGTGTTTTATTCTCATTTCTTCTGTTCTTTTCTCTTCTTCTATTCTAGACACTCGTTCTTCCTGTGATTGTGTTGGTGTAGTTTCTTCATGCTGAGTTGCTTCTTGACTCGTTCTTTCTTCCCCAGTCTTAACCACTCTATTGTCTAACTTTTCCTCTTTTCTTGGTGTTGTGCTGTCTTCTAAGTTGTGAATTTCCCCCGAGGTGGGTTGTGAATTTTTATCGGAAAATGATGTTCTTTCCAATTTCGAGGAAAATTCTTCATATTTTTCATGTGGATAAGAGTTCACAGGTGACTTTAGGTGCTGGGATGCAGTTATGTTTCTTGGCTTGTTGACCGCAGAACATGAGGTTGTTGTTTTTAATGCAGGATTGACTGGCTGAGGAACCCTTTGTTCTATTTGACTAAGCCGTAGAGTATCACTTCCAGAAACTTGCTCTACCCCTGTCTGGTTCTTGAGATGAGTTGTTAGCGACTTGTTTTCTTCTTTGACAGAGTGTGCATGCTTTGCTCCAACATCTGATACACTTGGGGCATCTAAGACCATTTTCTCTTGTTTGTCTTTATCTCCTAGTTTGAACATCCCGGTCCTTTGGTGTTCTTTCTCTGTAATGGGAAATACTAATGCTTTGGGCTCTTTGTTTATTTTGGCACTCATCTCTGTCTTATTGGGAAGATGTTTCTCTTTAACAGAGATATCTTTTGGGTCGTCAGTGAACACTGGACGTCTGCTATGACGAGACTGTATAAGTGGAAAGAATCCTTCCTTTTTGTTGGGTGGGAATTCCTGAATTGTGTTTTCCTGCTCCTCTGAAACAATTACTTTTAGTCGGGCATAGTCTGCAAGTGCGGATATTTCAGGTATTGCTGATATTCTTTCCTTTGGTTTTGGTTGAACTTCGGTTTTCTCCTTGACAGCATTGTCCCTTGTTAGGTATGAATGTCTTAAGCTCTGTCTTTCCCTTGCTGATAAACTGGATTTTCTGAAATTATTAGCTTGACCTACTTCCTGTCTCTCTGTGGGAACATTGCTTTGTTTTGAAGTCTCTGTTTCCCTGTTTTTCTCTTCCACATTCGCATTTCGGACGCCTACTGTGCTTGATTCTATTGTTTTCCTCTTACTTTGATTCAAAGCAAAGGCGTAATTTTTTACTTCCTCATTGACAGAAGTCCTGTTCAGTGACGCTGGAGGTATTCTTTCGTTTGAAACACCATCTAACATGGCTCCATCATTGGCACTATTGTGTAGGTCATTATTTGTGTCTGCTACCCCTTGCACTTGAAAGTAGTCTCCCTCCATGCCTTGTGCCTTTGATTTATCCACTGAATTCCTACTATTCTTTACTTCATCAGACATTTGATGTTCAGCTTGAGTGTTTTCAGTAGCTACCTTTATGCTGTCCTTTTGTTTGCTGATTTTCAATGAATCAGACAGTTTTTTCACACTGGACAACACGTATTGTACTCCAAATTTGTCGTCTGGAGTGAGGTCCTTGATTTTATCTTTGTTGGTTAAAGAGTTCACTTTTTCTTCAGAACTCGATGATGCAACTTCTTGAGTGAGGTCTTTGATTTTATCTTCGTTGGTTAAAGAGTTCACTTTTTCTTCAGAACTCGACGATGCAACTTCTTGAGTGAGGTCTTTGATTTTATCTTTGTTGGTTAAAGAATTAACTTTTTCTTCAGAACTCGATGATGCAACTTCTTGAGTGAGGTCTTTGATTTTATCTTTGTTGGTTAAAGAATTAACTTTTTCTTCAGAACTCGATGATGCAACTTCTTTATGTTCAGTAGCTCCAACCACATCAGCTGGAACAACTGTGGCATTATTCTTTCCTGCTGTATTCAGGTTGTCATTCTTAGTTACTGCACAACTTGGCACAACTCTGATGGCAATGCTGTCTATGTGCACATCATCATCCACTTGAGTGTGTGTCTCTAATCTTTGGGATACATGGTTGTTTTGTTTTTCAGGTAAATGCTGAGATGGAGTGGTTTTGTTTAATGGATTTAGTGGTGTTGAGTCATTTCTTTTTTCTACCAGTCGGGGTGCACTCTCGCCATTTATGCTCCTGATTTTGTATGGATCTATGACAGTTGTCACATCTTCTGTCGATGATAGCTGGACATCAGGATTTACCAGAACTTCTGCATCAGCTTTCTTGGAATCACTCTTGATTCCTATGTTCTCCTCTTTAGCCTTAAAGTTGTCATTGGTATGTGCTGTTGGTGTTTTTTGATCATTTGTTTCTTCTAAATTATTCTTTAATTCATCTTTCCTCATGTCCTTTGTCAACTTCTGTTTAGGCATTTTGTTTGAGTAGTCATTCTTTTCCTTGTCTTTTATGTCTTGCTTGTGGAGAAGGGGTTGAGTTTCAGGCAATACTTTATTTTTAGAAGGTGCAGTGACTGTGGATGGCACAACCTTTTCAGCCAGTGGTTCTTGAAATTGCATTTCCCTTTGAGGCTTTGCATCTATAGAAGTACTCTTCTGAAGTTTAGTCCCTTTCACAGGGACATTCTCAGAAAGATTTTCTTGCACAATTTCATTTCTCACACCAACTTTAGTGTTATCTTCCTTCTCTGTGGGACAAAGTTCCTGTGCAACTCTGTCTTTTTCCTTTGTTTTGCTATTTTCCGTGGGAGAATCTTTTCCTGTACTTACTTCTAAACCTGAGCTGGGATGGCATTTATCTAACTCTGAATTACTGTGTTCTTTCTCTTTTGTATTTATTTGTTCCTTGTTGGTGTTATCACTCTTGGATTGCTCTCTTTCTCGTACTATTACCATTATTCCCGTAATCTGCAAACTGTCATGAGTCACAGGGGTTTTGTTCTGATCTTGAGAGAAAAGATTTATTGAAGGTGCTGAGTCCTCATGAAGTTCTTCATATTTACTCTCAGGTTGTTCTGATGTCATAGGTTTTGAGCTTTCAGCTTTGACCAGAGGTGTAGCTTTTGATAGATCCTCTTTCTCCTTTTTCTGTTGGTCGGTGCTTATGACAGGATTGTCTTTAACCCCATCTTTCTGTTTTCCGGGGTTTGCTCCATGATTGGTTTTCTGCTTTTCACTGTTGTCCACAGGTGCCTGCTCTTTACTTTGCATAAGTGATTTAACTCCAGATTGGCTTTCATTCTTCTGTTTGTCTACCAACACCCTAGCTGTGATTTTAGGATCACATCCTGTCTGTGTTGCATCTTTGGTAGGTTCTCGCACATTATCAGTGCTTTTCATTGGTTCTTTGGTAACCCGCTTCTGTGAATGTTCTACCGAATGACCAGTGGTTGCTGCAGACTTCACTGGTATTATAGCAGAACTGGGGGTTGGCACAGACTTGACAGTTTCTGTCTGTACTCCTGATTGCTCCATCTGGTGCTTTGGTGTAATATTACTGGACATAGTGCTTTCATGCTTTTTAGGCAGATCCTGTGATGGAGGCCTCTGTCGTATGTTAAGACTCTGACTACCTGCTAATTGCTTGGTTGAGTTTTTGGATATAAACCCATCTCTTATAGCAAAACCCTTTTCTTTTATCGCTGAAATCTCTTTTTCAGCGTGAGCTTTTATCTTGGATGTCAGAATCTCCTGCTTGGTTTGTGCTCTCTCCTTATGTGTCAATGCTCTGGGAGGGGTAAAATGCATATCTTTACGTGGACCTGCACTGTGCTCAACTGATTTAGGTTTTCGTTCAAGAGGGCCAAGTTTTGTCAAATCAGAATCTCTTTGATGTAATTCATTAGTTAGTCTCGCATCTTCACATTTTCCTAACTTTTCAAAACTGTCATCCTTCACTTTATTGGAAATAATGTCACAATTTGCTCCATTATCTACATGGGTGGGTAGATTATCAGAACTGGATAATTTGAATTCTTTGGATGACTCACTGTAAACATAGTGGCCCTCTGTTTCCTCATTTGATTTAATGCTTCTGCTTTCCTCCTTATTTTCTGTGTTAGCTTTTGCAAGTCCGCTTGCAGGACTATTTTTGTCATTTGATTTGTTGTTATTCACTGTCTCAGCTTTGGTAGGAGATATAATTGGTGTTTCTTTGTCATCATTTGAAGAATCAGTTCTTGCAGTTAATTCTTCTTTTCTGTTTGTTGAACATGTATTAGTGGTACCATATTTCCCTCTCAAACTGTTAAAATTATCAGCCCCTCTGTCAACTTGATCTCTGACAAATTTGCTGACAAGTGAGTCTTCATTCAGTTGATGCATTTGTGTTGCTCCATCCTGGTTTTTATAATCCTCATTTATATTCATATTAGTGTTAAAATGAATGTCTTTCTTTGCAATGTCATTTTCCATTACAATGTTAGTAGTTCTAACTTTTTGTTCTCCTTTCATTTTCTCTTTTATTTTGGCCAGTTCTGCTTTAGCTTTAGCTAACTCTGTCTTTACTTGTTCAACTTTATCTGGCTCACATTTGACTTGTTGTTTCGCTGCTAGTTTTGCTCCAGGTTTAACTAACCTTTCCTGCAGATCCTTGGTTTTTGTTAGCTCTGCTTTAGTTAGCTCTACTTTTGTTTGCTTTTCCGCTTTCGGCTCTTTGGCCTTATTTAACTCTGAGATAGTTTGTTCTGCATTTAAACAAACTTTAATTGAATCTACCTTCATTTTCTCTAGTTTGACATCCTTAACTTTAATGTCGTCTGTTTTGACCTTTTCCATCCTCAACATTTTCTCCTGTTCTGATTTAGCTTGTTGCTCTTGTTTAGCTTGTCCTGCTTTAATCTTTTCTGCTCTAGTTCGTTCAGTCTCTCTCCTCTCTCTTTCAATTTGTTCTGCTCTTAACCGTTCTTCCTCCTCTCTTCTGACCTGTGCAGTTTGCTGTATTCTAAATTGCTCTGTCCGTGCCAGTTCAGTTTTGATGTTTTCTTCTTTCATCCTTTCTACTCCAGCTTGTTCAGCTTTGACCTGTTCACCCTGCTCACCCTGCTCCTCTTTCATGTGCATGGCTCCTGCTTCCTCTTTTATATTTTTTGGCTCTTCTGTTATCTTTTGTTCTCTGGCCTTTGTCTGCTCCCTTACATACACTGGATGTTTTTCTCTCGATTTTTCTGTTTGTTCTCCTTTTTTCTTTTCCTCTATTGTAGCCGGTTTGATTCTTTGGCGCTCTGTTTGTTCTGCTTTGGCCTGTTGTGCTTTGACTTTCTCTGAACCAGTCTGCCCTGCTAAAATTAACCTGGCTGACTCTGCTTTGGGTGGCTCCACTTGAGCCCAGTGCTGAACTTTTGCCAGCTCAGTTTTGGTGATTTCTGCTGTGGCCTGTCCATCCCTGACCTCAGCCAACTGTCTATCCTTCACCTGGTTTAATGCGATGGTGGATTCAGCATCATTGTCAGGATTAGATAATGCATTTTTGTGCACGTTATGTTCAATGGGCGGTGTGGCTTGTACGGGCTGGAGACTTAGCATTTTGTGTCCTTTTGGAACCGGCATATATGGTTTTCTCTGACCTGTTTCCTGCATGCACATAGTTTTGTCTTTACTAGTATTGAAGATGTGTTGATTTGGGTTTTCCGGATCAGTATACCTATCATAATTCTGTGTCAAACAATTTTTCATTACATTTTCCTCATTGTGTCCATGATGTTTTTGAAGTGCATATTTTTCCCTAATTGTTCCAGGTTGTTGTTGTCTGTAATATGCTTGATTTTCTAAAGTATCATTACTGATTTCTGGAGCATATTGGGGAAGTTGGTTTGAAATGTTAGGATTGACCAACCCTGCACCATAACTATGCCTCAACTCTCTTGTTTCAAGTTCTGCATTTACAATTTGCTGATTTACGCCTCTGTATTTGTCTGTGGGTAAATGCAGTTCCTCCTTTATCTGGGCTGCTCTTTGGTAAGCTTGTGCATGTTGCTCTTTTCCTCTTAAAGCAGTTATCTCTTGTTTCCATGGAGAGACAGCTGCTCTCAGATCGAGTCTTTCTGTGTCTTGGCTGTTTGTCTCTCTCCACCTATCCTGTGTGGACACATTACCGTAATCATGTTTGTTGTCTTTCAGCTGCTGATATCTATCCACCTTTGTGGATTCCCTTCCCACTGTTTCATTAAAATGTTGCTCAGCATTTGCCCTACTTATGAAATATTCTCTGGTTTGATTGTTGACAGTATTTCTTGGTGCCTCTGTAGCTGTATACGATGGTTGAATTCTGTATTCTTCCCCTACCAGACTTTCTGCATTTTCTTTCATGCTTTGTTTATAGGAAGTAAATGACGGTAAGTCTTCATGGAGATACTGTCCATTAGCCAGCTGATTGGTTGTGTAGTTTTCAGGTGTAAAGCCAGAGAACATGGAGTGATGAACCATCTCACTTTGCCTCTGAGCTGTCTGGTAATCACCTAAAGTGTGTTCTGAGTATTGGCCTGCATGTGCTGTTTTAGGATGAGAGTTTTGTGTTGGAAGCGACAATCCAGGGTTTTGATACTGGTTTGCATACTGATGAGAGGCAGCACTTGTCCTGCTGAATTGCTCGACCTGTGTAAACTGAATGTCTGGATCAGGATAATCTGGGATATCTATCACAGTGTCTCTCGGCTCCTGCATTGAGGGCTGTTTGAATTTGGTTGGGCTGTAGGTGTTTTTTACTCGTTTCCTGTTGTCTTTGAGATTGAAGAGTAGGCTTGTGGCTCTAGATCTGTAGCTGGACATCCTAATGTCAGGAGTAGCTCCCCTGCTCTCAGCTCGCACCGGAGGATGTTCCACAAGCTGAGGTGAAACTGCACCTTGCTGGACCACTGATGTCCCTGCTTCTTGATTTGCGTGGACTGAGGGTGTGAGAAGCTGACTGATGTTGAGTGGGGTTGTGTTACCTCTGACAGCATTTGCTGCCACTGTTACTGCACTGTTGCCAAAAGAAATTAAATTATCGTTGCCACAAAGTGCTGCTTGTTGATTAGCTTTCATATCCATTTCCATGTTTTGCTCTGCCATCATTTTGATCTTTTGCTGCAGGGCTTTCACAGAGCTGATGGTGTCCCGCACACGTCGAGACATCTCGATGGTAGGTGATGCAGTTGATGGCCGCTGAGACGGAAGCTTGTTAGTTCCCAGGCTCTGCATCCGCTTCCTGTGGGGATAATGACCTGCCAACTCTGACTCGCAGCGTTTCTCCACAGCTGAAGCTTTTTGCAGCATTGTAGATGTTGATGTGGAGCGTTGAGGAGTGGGAGGAACCATTGGCACTATGTTATTCCTCAGGTTGCCAATACCCCCCTCCTCAAACCTGTAAGGCCCCTGTGGCCGGGCCTCCTGTGACAGTTCCCTGTACATTGGTGTCTCATACCATTTAGGGAACTCAGAGCAGTGCATAAACCCTGAGACGTCCCCTTGAAAAGGAAACCTGTTATGATCCCTCCATACCTTAAAGGGACTAAACTCACTGTGTATAAAGAAGTTAGAGTTGCAGTTGACCTGCATGGACATGTGTTTACTGTGGGAAGCGCTCATGTAAGCCGATGCAGCATTTGTGTGAGCCACTGCTGCTACTTCAGAGGAATAGAAGCCGGTGTTTTGAGATGTGAATGGACCAGCTGTCAGGAAATGATCACTGTTAAAGTTTTGCTGGTATGATGAAGAGAATTCAGAAAGTTCTCTTTGGATATTCATCAGGGCTGAGTTGTCCCAGCTTGTCTCATTATTCCACTCTCTGATTTTACCATCCATCCCTGCTCCATCCCTGTGTCCATCAGAGTTAAAAGCTCTGATGAGGGAGGAAACTCTGGAGCGGCTCCTGCGTTGCTGTGAACTTAAATCTGTGGCTCCATTGCTGAAGAATGACAACTGGTCTTCCCTCAGAGATTTTTCCTGTTGAGAGGTTTCCACAAAGGAGCGCTGGAATGTGGCAGAAACCCTCCCTTGTGTCCTTTCCCCGTAAGCCTCCCACAGCGGATCTCTTTGGATCTCAGCCCCATACATTCCTCCATGCATCCAGTCCTGTCCATACTGCTGCACTCTGACGGTGAAGCTCTCATGGGCAGCTCTCTTAAGTTCCTCTCTTTCTCTGTCCTCTTTGTGTCTGTCTTGGCCTCTCTGGCTAAAGGCCAGCTGTCTGTCTCTCTGGCTGCAGGGTGAAGATGAACAGAGGTCTGAGTCATTATAAACAGCCTCATCTCCAATGCAGAGGCTCCTGAATGCTCGATCTGTCAAACTGCTGACCTCGCGGTCAGTCTCATCCAGGAACGACCCACCACTCGAAGTATCACTGTAGCCTCCATCGCTGTGCTTTCGATGCCTGCCACTCTTTCGGCCTGAGCGGCGCTTCTCAACTGAAGTCATGATGCCGGCTCAGAAACCAAGAGCTCTGTCCTCAAGTCCTCTGTCATTCATGCAAAACGCAGACCTCAAAATTAAACGCTATGTCTGCCGGTGGAGCTGCAGGACCCAAAGTTCAGGGCCCCTGGATTTTCTTCAGCCGGTCGCTTCTAAGGCATTGTGCCTGTTAGTTGTAGTAGCCTCTGTCCAAAAAATCCTGGAAAATGTTTTTTTTCTGCAGGACAAAAGAAAAGTGTGTTAGCCCAGATCTGACCATGCACGCATATAAACGTTCATCCTACAGGAATAGTAATCCAAGATATACACGTTTTCTCTCTGTTAAAAACAACCTATTTTGCTGTGGTGCCCAATTTAAGATAGCTGGCCTTAATAAGGAGTTTTTTTTTAACCCCTCGGATTAAACAACAATGTACTGTATGTGCTTCTGAAAACAGCTCTGTAAATCCTTCTACTCAATCACTGTGACCTTCAGGGGCATGTTGTAAATAAAACGACACTGTTGCTATAGGCACAGGAAAGACAGCCTCACGTGAGTTATTTTGGGAAAGCAGAATGCGCTGTATCAACTTAGACAACCACACACACACACACACACAAACTCAAAATGCCTGTTTGTGATGTTGATGTGTTAATGTTGATCATGGGTTAGACAGATGTTAAACTTTTAAATCAGACTTCCACCAAGTTGTTTGACTTTGTTAGGATCAATCAACTGTTACATTGAAAATGAGTCTTGTAGTAAAACCTTTGGGTGTTATGGAGAGAGCAGATGGAAAGAGCTACTACATTGAGATTTCAGAGGTAAATTCAGAGTTGATTTGAAAAGTAAGAAGAATATCTGAAATGTTTAATGAGATATCTAAACTAATGTATTTAAAATAGACTAATGTTACAAAAATGTACAAATTAAAATGTATAGAGCACCAAAATTGGAATATTTAATTAGGAAGTTTGTGGTGGGTTTTTTAACAAATCAATAAAATAAAAATCAGTGTTTTCTAATCCGTAAATCTGAAACAGCCAAGGCCATGGGATAGCACTGTGACGTATTTCAGTCTGTTGACTTATTCCTTGTCACTCTCTCTCCCATCTCTGCATTGCATCTGGGGGGGTCTTCAAAACTGTACTGATTATATATTTAAAAACCATATAATGCAAAACAGTCTGTACTGCAACTTATTATAACCTCCTTATCTCATACTCCCCTTCTTGTACTGTGCTTTAAATAAAATGATTGTACATTTAGAGGCATCAAGGCAACGTCATGGGTAAATTAACTGCAGCTGCCCGGCAGCACCACCTTAAATACCCATTAGTTCATTAATACCATTTGACCTGGAGTGTGTCCATCTCATACACATCTATAAAACAGCCTCACACCACACAACACTGCCTGGTTAGGTCAGCAGCAAATAAAAAACCCCACAAAAACTGTCTTTGATTTTCATTTCATTACCCAAGATTTCAAGATTATATTTATCGTGTGCACAACAATTACATACAGCAGTCGCTTGCAATTAAATTCCTATGTCAAAGGCTCCCTTCTAGCCATGCTCAAAAATATTTGAAAAACCACACAAGCTAAATTAGTAAAGTATTAAAATAAAATATTATAAAATTCCTCGCATAGATATAAATTATAAACTAAATTTAAATAAAGTAAACTAAAATTAATTTAAATAAAGTCTAAAAATGGATAATAATAAAATATCTTGACACATTCGTGTTCAGTTTATAAGCACACTTTTGTAAGGACAGTGATCTCACTGTGACTAATTTGAGCCCTTTTCGTCACAACCACCTCCTGCCAAACTGTCAGGGTCATTTCTGTTCATTCTTGCATCTGACAGATTTATTTTTGTCCAGTGACAGGCCTCTGACTCTAAAACCTGACACCGAACAGGCCTCGTTTTTCAGGTGGTCTGTGGAGCAACTGAGACTGAACAGCAACAAATCTGTCACCTCAGAGAGCAGGAAGAACTTGACCAGGATTTATATTTATACATAAAGAGAATAAAATAACATTCGGTCAATGGAGTTAACCTGTGCAGAGAACCTTTGGTAAACAAATGTAATTTGGATATGGAGATTAAAGCAGGGAATGTCATATATTTTCATTCATTTATCTTTAATTTGAACTCTTTAGATTTAATTTAAAATGCATTCAAGGATATTAACTTTTGTCTTAGGTCTTCCTCATATATTATTAAGCATCATCTTAACATGAAAAATAATGTAGATTGGGTTCTTATTTTACCTTTCAGCTCTATAATCCATAATCTGAGCTCTACTCCAGGGTTAACTCCCCAAAAGGCTCCGTCTCCCAAGGCCTCGCAGATCTGATCCTCCCCTGTCACCACATATGAGCCCTCACTGGCAGCTCTGCCTCTTTCTACTGAAAACAATCCAAAGAAAAAAACTCTCGATAGTCCACTGTCAGGTTTTGGAGCGTCTGACCAGAAGAAGGCAGCAGAACTTGGAGTCGGAGACCAGACAGAAATAGAGGATTTTCCCACAGAGAGTGTCCACCATGGGGGGACGGAAAGAGTGCTTGGGCTACAGCATGTGGGTCTGCGAGATCCTCTGGTGTCAAGTGTCAGATGGATGAAACAAACAGCCTCTCAACTATTTATAAATATGGACAAGCTGTCGGCCATTAGCAGCTACACAGCTAACTGTCAGCAAGCTGCAGGGAAATGTTACCACCACCGGAGGAGGAGGAGGTTGTGGGGTCGAAACCAGGAGAAAAAAGTCAATTTACCAGAGGTGTGCTATTACTGTGTGGATGCATGGGTGGGGGACTGGGAATGTAGTTCGGGGGCCCCTGCTGGGAGATGTAAATAACCCAATTGCCTCACACTGGAGTGCCCCCCTCTTTGTGCCCCCCCTCAACACTGACAAGAACTATACGAAGTGTCAACAAGTGTCACCACCGACCTGAACGAAGCTTCGTCTCGACTATAAAACCATGTGACGGCAGATTTGTTATATTTTATCTTTCTGTTATTAAACGATGGAAGTCTTACCCCCCCAGCTGAAAAGTAACCCCACCTCCCCTCTGCCTCCCCTCCTACAGCCCCTGCTGCTATAATAGGAGATTGCTGTAGCAGATAGTTTCCTGGGATTCTTGGCGGGTGCAGGGCCGCGGCCTGGCAGGATGATGGACACACACACATGTCCTTAATGGAGACGCACTTCTTCGCATACACCCACACAAACACACACACACACACACACACACACACACACACACACACACACACACACACACACACACACACACACAGATGGTTTTGCATATAGCTCACCAAACTTTGGGGAAAGGCTGAGGTAATCCCTTTTTAACTAATCTCCTTCCTCCCTTCTAAACCTCCATCTCTCCACCCACGCGCCCTACTAAATTCTCATCCATTTTTTTCCCCCTTTTTTTCCTGGACTCTGAATGTCAATAACATCCATCTCTACATTTACTCTATGAAATAGGCTTCACAGATCTCAAAGATTTTCATCGGGAATTTGCAAACTGCTGGTGATTCATCATATTTTTTGCTTTTCGGGCCCTCGATACTCAGCACTAGTTAAAAAATTGTTTTGATGAATGATTAATAAAAATTTACAAAGTCTTCCCTCAGCCAAAATTACACAGTGTGAGTTTATCCAATGTGCTCAATTTTCCCATTGAGGTTTGAGATGAATGCTTGTTGTGGGCATGTTTCCTGCTCACCAAGTCCCTCTGGTGGACAAACTAAGAACCCACCATCACATTCATGTGGCCTGAGCAGAAATTTTGATTTTCAACATATCTTGAGGTTGTTTTTTTTTGCACAGTGAAACTCTCTGAAACTTTGCTTCAGCACAGTTGCATTGTGAAGCGACTGATGTTTACCGTGAGCTCAATAACAAACGCTGAGGATGCTCTTCGTTGTGCTGAGTAAGGAGGAGTGGGGCTGTGGTTATGTGGCAGACAGCAGACAGGCACATTACTCGTTGCATTAAGATATGCTTTGTTTGTATTATCTCCATTCAGAGATGAGCTTAATTGATTCTAATTGATTGAGTTATTGATCAGGTCTGCTTCAGGAATTAAAAGCAGAGATGATACGGTAGTGTGTGTGTTTGTGTGTGGGGGGGGGGGTGTTGAGGCCTGAATGCACTGAAAGTCTGACTTTGGGAGCCGGGACCTTGAATTGTAAAATTTAAGTGCTGCACCCCATGCCGAGCAAAAGAATTATATATATATGTGCCGGTCTTTCTTTAGCATACTGTGTTTTTCTGTGTGCCGTACATTGTCTGCAGATGAGTGCATGTGCTTCACGTCTCCCTGTTTCAGGACACGTTGCCCCACATCCCCTGCAAATATTTCATTACTGCAACAAAAGAAGCCCATTAACTGCACTGTAAGAACAGAGTTCAACTGCTGTTGCCCATATTCACCATGTTTGTCTGCTTTTCTGGCCGCTCTCCAGCTAATTTGATATAACAATGCTCCGCAAGACCGCCTCAGGACTTTTTTTAGGTGACAGAAAATTATCAATGATGCCACATGCACAGCTGAATGTCAACACCAACTTGACTTGTTTATGAAATATTAAAGCAGTGAATTATGGGCGCCATGTAGAACTTAATGATGATCGGAGTCATTACAACTTCAGCATCCTTTGTTTTGGCTAATGATTAAATTCCACAACTGCTGTATTCAATTGTGTCGAGATTGAATGTGTTTCTCACATCTTTTGTATGAGTTGGCTGGAATCCGTCCTCCATATTGGTGCAGTTCTAGGAAGAGGAGCTGATTTGTTTTGTGTTATCATTAGATGCCATGCCACGGGGCTTAACATGTTCTCTTAACACGAGCGAAATCATTATATTAGGACATGGTTGTTTTAGTAATATTATTTGAGGCATGAATAGATAGAGTAGCTGCTATATAACAGGCCTAGACTATTATGATACCAAATATATAAAAGTAGGCCTTAATAGGTTTGGATTTAAAAACTGTATTTTGGCTCAGTTTTGACCTTCGTGCCTAAAAAGTGCCAGTAAATGTGTAATTTTTATTATAGTGTGTGTGTGTGTGTGTGTGTGTGTGTGTGTGCACACGCATGTTTTATTGGGAAATGTAGTGTTCTCATGCAATAAAAATCATGTTCAATTTTGTGCCAATGTTACAAGTGGGCAACTCGGAGTCAGTGAAAGCGTCACTTTATTGGAGTATTTGCAGGATATTTACAACATGCACACATGAGGACGAGCGCTCGGCCCTCTGTGAACAACCTGGCACGACGTCTGACATTATCTCTCTCTTCTGTGTCACCGGGGTGTTGCCTCATCAATTATTGAACCAGTACTTCATGGTAATACATAATTTCTTATCAATTATTCAAGGTAATGTTTGTGTAGTTTACTTAATTGTGTTATTGACTATCAAAAGTAATTTCCCGAAGATCCTCAAGGACACAAATTGAATCAGCCCCACTACTGGTTGTGTGCTCTGCGGTTAAGTATTCTCTGTGTGATCAGCTGAGCCTTTATTCAGGAGTCATTGTAGTGAGAGGAGATATTTAGGAATAATGAATCAAGAAATGTATTGCCTGTGATGAACTGCCGTGTGAGGAGCCCTGAGGTGATGATAGATTATATTTTAAAAAATGTAAATTCAATATTAATAAATAGCATATATCATGTTTAATGGGGTTTATTAAAAACCGCTCAGAGAGGGAGAGAAGGTAGAGAGGGGGGCCGGCGTTCCTAAAAGTAAATAAATAATAAGAGTCAGGATTGCTCTCCCCTCCCAGCTTTAAGAGAGGCTGATAAATAATGTATAAGAACAGATGGCTGGAGCGAGAGGCAACAGGAGAGGAACATGAGCGACTACATCTTTAATTGTTTTAAAGAACATGTCACAACAGGACTGGTGTGTTCCCTGTCTGCTGGCGCTACAGATGTGCTAACAGAGCCGCTCTGTCACAGAGTCTGCTTCAGCCTGCCTGGGGTTCACACGTGGACATACTGTATTCTGGCACATGTACACATTTACACTGGAAATGGCTGATTAATATTAAAGTGCACTTTCACTTTAAAAAGAAAAAGAAATGAGAGACGATTGTTTGAGCCTGTTACCGACCTGATGCAATAAACATCATATTGCCTGCAAAAATCCTCACTGTCCTGCCATTAGCTCTACACTTACAGATCACATGCATTAACATTCACATTGTAAGTATCCGTCCTCTTTAAGAAAACAAGAGGAGCTGAATCAGGGTTACTTAAATTCACATTATCAAATAAATCTTTTTCACATGTTGCATCTATGTTATGTCCATCAAATAGAGTCCAAGAGTGCATGTAGACAAATATAGATCCAAAACCACACTTGTGCTTTAATGGGGACAACAAGGCCCCAAGTATTCAGCATTTCTCACAAACAATAATAATTTACCGTCAAATAAATATTCATTGTTTGCATCCATACACTGTATCAGCAAAGTCTTTCCCCGCATGTTTCTGGAGTCAGTCAGTAGTTGTGCTTAGTTGCTCGTACGACCAGAGTAGAGTCGAGTAAAGAAGAAATAACACGATCACACAGATTGAGAGTATCCATGTTTACATCCAGCACCTCACTTCTTCTCCAGTGGATCCTTGGAGCATTGAGGGTGTTTGTCAGGACTGCTGCCCAGGCCTGGGACCTTGGAGGCCGGGCTGGGACTTGCACTGTCTCCCACTCTTCCAATGGTGCCAGGCACCTCAATGGCAGGGCCCACTGAGGGCCTCGCCACCCCGACCGAGCTGACGCCGACCCCAGACAGGACTCCCACGCCGGCACTGGGCCCGGTTGTCGCACTGAGCAGGTTGGCGGACTGCAGCACGGCCTCCGAGTGCTCCCGAGCCTTCATGCGCAGGGCAGCCACGCTGGCTGTGCGGTTGCCCTGACAACCATAGGGCGGCAGAAAGGACAGACCCATGGGGTCAGAAACACAGCAGGAGCACAGGCCGTTACCTGGAAAACAGCAGAAGTGGGAGTTGTGACGGAGCTACTAAAAAATCATTTTTTTTTTACATCATCGTTAAAACCATCTCTTTAATGAGGATCATATTTACCTTTGAGGGTGGCGACCTGAGAGAGCGCCTGGGCGTAGGTGGCAGAATTGAGCAGGGAGCCTGGTATACAAGACGGAAAGAAGGGACCACCAGGACCCACTGTCCTGTTGATGCTGGAGAGAACCGACATACTGTTTCCAATTAGTGACAAGTAAAACTGACAAATTACACATTTATAGAAATATCTACAATATTTTTATTTCTCAAACTACACTTTGCACACTGCAGAGCTGAAAGACTAAATCAGTGAACATCCTGTAAACTTCAGAAATTACCCATAAGGCTATCAGATATTTTTTCGGCAGTTATGGATGGAAGAAACTTATTTTTTATTTCCATCAATCAGATCCACCAATCTGGAAATCTGAAACAGCAACATTTGTTTTTTCCGACCAATGGAAATAATGTTTCATAACAATAACAGC